ACAGAGAGAGTTGTCTATTCCTAACGGCGAAGCCTGAAAAGTACCTTTTGAATGTATTAACACAGGACCCTTTGGTGAGCTAAGTGAAAGTAGTTTGGTGAAATGTTGTTGTCAGGTGCCATCAAGTCAGCTCTGACCCATCGCCACCCTATGCACCCTAGGCTGGATTGCAGAGGTTGAAAAATAGGTTGCAGTCAGAAATTTAGGACTTCGTGGGGTGGAAAGAGAGAAAGATGGTAATTAAAAGATTGGAGGTATCAGTTTTTTGCTTTGTCTCTGTTGTTGTTGTTTGTTTTGGATTTTTCTTAGCATTAAGACAGGAGGAACTTGAGCACAATGCAGAAGATGCAACCAAGAAAAAAAACTAAAGAAAGGGAAGAGCTCGTCAATCCTGGCAAAGATCTTCAGAAGAGTAGACACAGAACAAGGCACTGAGGGGAGGACTGCCTTGGAAGACAAAGAGAAGATCGCACCTTGGTTATCTAGTGCTTCGATTCCAGAAGTACCAAAACGACGGCTTTACTAAACAGGATTGTATTTTCTCATAGTTTGTTGTTGTCACTATCAGATGCCCTTCCAATCTGTCCCAACAAACCACCCTATGTACAAGAGAACCAAGCAGCGCTCCGTCCTGCATCATCCTCTCAATCGCTGTTTCCTTGTTCAGCCTATTGCTGCAGCCACTGTGCCTCTTCGTCTCCTTGAGGGGTTTCCCCTTTTCTGATGACCCTCGACTTTACCAAGCATGATGGCCTCCAGGTATTGGTCCTTCCTGAAGACATGTCCAATGTGCATGATGACAGTCTCACTATCTCATTTCTGAGAAACATTCTGGGTGTCCTTCTAAGACAGATTTATTTCTTCTGACATTCCATGGTGGATCCATCTCCTCACCAACACCAAAGTTCAATTCAAATGCATCAGCGCTTCAGTGCTCATGACTCATTGTCCAGCGTCTCATGCATATGAGGCCTTTGGAAATGGCGCAGCTTAAAAAAAAAAAAAAGAAATGCCGCAGCTTGTGTCAGGTGCATCTTAGTCAGTGGTGGGATTCAAGTAATTTAACAAGTTTGCTGCCCCATGACCATTTTAAGTATCATAAAAAAATGATATTCTGAAAGGTAGTTTATTATTTCATACAGTTAATACTTAAATAAGAACCATGAAAGAAGTACACAAAACTAGATTATGTTATATGAGTTTTAAAATATTAATGAAAAATACTAAACATCTGAGCAAAAATGATAATGATGTTAAGATAGTTCCATATTGCTTCTTGATTGATATCCTCATTTGTAATATTCTACGTTTTTATCCAAACATCATCAGCTGTGTGACTTATTCTTAACTATCTGTGGAAGTTACATCACCTGTTGTGTTGTCAATTTGAGAGTTAAAGAGTGAAGGGGTGGAGTGTAGCCTGTCAATCAGGTCACAGCTTGTTGACCTCATTTGTAGGCACTAAGGAGATAAAATAGCTCGCTGGAGGCAGGACACATGCACACTCCCTAGTAGACATTACTGAGGATGAGCCTGATGGAACTACAACTGATGCAGCCAGAACTCAGAGAGCTGGAGGAACCACGTGGAGACCCATGTCAGCGCTGAGAGGCTTCTACCACCACTGGATCCACAAGACTTTCCACCCACTGGCCTGCGATCTTTCTTCCTGCATTCGATGTCATTGCATGTGTTGCGTGAATCTGAAGAAGAATTTATAGACTGGTAAGGGATATATGGGCTAATATCGGATTAATGGACTTGACCTGGACTGGGCTGGGATGTTTTCTCAATATTCAATTTGTATTCAATTTGCTCTTGTATATAAAGCTCTTTCTTACACTTATATGAATATGACTATTAATTTATTTCTCTAGTCTACCCAGACTAACACACCATCTTTTCACTATAGGAGTAGGATCCCATTCCTTTGGTAAGCCAATTAGACAAAAGTCATTGTGTTTGAAATATTAGAAACAGGTGACATCTCTTCTCTGAATATATTATGTTCATCCTTGTAAAGCCCCTTTCTGCTTCTGCTGAACTTACAGCAATCATTCTGACAACATTTGTAGCTCTTTGAACACTTTCAGGAATTGTGTAGTTCACTCATACTATCTCATGGGAATTGGGGCATCAC